TACATGTTTTGCAGGTCTATTGTAAACACAAAGGTGCAGAGTCATTAGAGGGGTATTCACATGTGAGTCTGGCCAGGGTATGAATGTCCAGGGTCAGGACTTTGATTTAACACTGGTATCTTTGTTAATTACTCTATAGAGTGATGCTAGGGTTCCATTTCCAAGCTGTGAGCAGGGTTGGGGCTGCTCTTGGTGCTGGTACATGCATGTGTGGTACTGGTGATGCCTGCGTGGTAACAGTGATGCCTGCATGGTACTGGTGATGCCTGCGTGATACCGGCGATGCCTGCGTGGTAACAGTGATGCCTGCGTGGTACCGGCGATGCCTGCGTGGCAGTGATGCCTGCGTGCCCGTCTGCCAGCATCGCTGGATGATGTGTCAGAGAGAGGAATAATGGATGTTTGTTTTTACACGTGTTTCTGCCCAAGACTGAGGGTGGGATTCACATGGGTGAAGCCCCCGGAGCAGAGGGTCCCTGCCTACTCTTTGCCCACTCATGAGCGTGGGGCTTCAAAGCCCACCTGACGTGGCTCATGCTCAGCTCTGCTGTCTGTGCATGAGCATCCTCATGGTCTATCCTGAAGCAGAGGAGAGGAATTGCAGGCCCTGGGATTTATTTCTTACCATCAGCGAGCAAATGAGCTGCCCGAGCACCACCTCCTCCTCTGAGTACTGGGTCCTGTCTTCCCAGAGCACATGGTATGTAGGTCAGGGAAGTTAAAAGCTGCCATTGCTGGCTGTGGATGTTTAGATTCATCCATCCAGAGCAGGAGAACTCTCCTCCTTTGCCCTTTATGTCAGCTGCAATAACCGTCAGCTCTGTGAGCAGGCGGCTGGGGCCTTCCTGCCTCTGTGAGCCGTGGGCTGGTGCCTTCCTGCCACGGGTGATGCAGCTGTGGGGTCCCCGGTGCGGCAGGGGGATCCCCATTGCAGAGCGGTGGTGGGGGTGTCTCCCACTGGGTGGAAAGGCCCCTGTGATGGCCCAACAAAGCTGCTTGGTGCAGGTAAGGGCGATGGGTGTCATTGCTCGGGGTTAGTCCTGGTCCCCCTGCTCTCACCCAAGCCAAGCACTGTTGGTGTGGCTGCAGGAGGAGCACTCACCATGTCCATCACAGCGGGGGGATGCTGGTGCAGCTGCTGGTATTGTGCTCTGTGCTGTGAGTGCAGTGGGGAGCCCAGCTCCTGTGGCTGTGCAGTTCACCAATTGCCCTTAAACATCCCTGCAGAAATGCCACGTGGCTCCTGGTGGGACACGGGGATCTTGTGTCTTCCCAAGATTATGGGATCTTGGACTTGTGTCCCAGCCAGACCCCAGTGTGGGAACCCACACAGCACAGTGGCAAACGCGCTATAGCATCCCATTGGCTTTTAGGGGGAATGTGGAGGATGGAGGCGCCCGAGCATCCAGCCACGGTGGGTGGGAATGGACGTCACAGGGGCACGGGCACAGGAGTGGGCAGAGCTCATCTTGTGGCGTGCAGGGACCTGCACTTGGGGGCAGACGGACCCACATCCTGCAGCACACAGGGACCCATGCCCGCGGCACGGGGACCCTCCTCTGGGGGTGCACATGTGGGAGGTTTCGGTTCCCCAGCCCTGGGCACGGCAGGAGGGCAGAGCGCCACGGTGCCAGCCCTGCCAGGGACATCAGACATGTGGGAGGACGTTTCTGGGAGATAGTCCCTGCACATTAATCACCCGGGAAGTCTCCTTCATTAATTCAAAGTCGTTTGTGGAGGTTCTGGAAGCAGAAATAGCTCCTGAGCAGCATCGCGCTATTGTACTCGCCTCTCAGTAAAAATAGCCAAGTGGGGCTGGGGATCTTCTGCGGGAGAAGTGACAGCAGGAGCGGGGCTGGGAGCGGGATCAGGGGGCTGGGATGGGGCAGGTCCCTCCCAGATGGATGACTCTGGAGTAGAGCCCCTGGTACACGCAGGCAGGGCCAGGAAAAGCCAAACACTGGTGGCAGGGCTGCAGCACTGGGGTCCAGGGGGCCATGCATCCCACAGCAGATGCTCAGAATCATGGAATTATGGAGTGGTTTGTGTTGGAAAGGACCTTAAAGCCCATCCAGTTCCAACCCCTGCCACGGGCAGGGACACCTTCCACTAGAGCAGGTTGCTCCAAGCCCCTGTGTCCAACCTGGCCTTGAACACTGCCAGGGATGGGGCAGCCACAGCTTCTCTGGGCACCCTGTGCCAGCGCCTCAGCACCCTCACAGGGAAGAGCTTCTGCCCCAGAGCTCATCTCAGTCTCCCCTCTGGCAGGTTCAAGCCATTCCCCTTGTCCTGTCCCTACATCCCTTGTCCAAAGCCCCTCTCCAGGTTTCTTGTAGGCACCACTGACATGGGGGAAGCTGGAATATGCCCCATAATGAGAGACTGATTAAGGAATTGCGTCTGCCCGGCTTGCAGGGAACCAGAGTGAGACGTGATTTGGGCAAGGGCCGTTGGTGCCTCTGTGGCTGTGAGTTAATGAGGTCTTCAAAGGAGCAAATATTGGCTGTGGGAAGCAGCAGATGGAGCTGTGGGTAGTTCCTGCTCTGCTCCGGGTGCCCAGCAGCACAGCCTGCCCCGGGAAGCTGGCTATGGAATGATGCTGGTGGCAGGGGCTGATCCTGCTGCCCAGACTCAGCCCCAGCATTGCTGGAAGCGCTCCCAGATGGATGTCGTGTTGGAAGTGTCACTGTGATAACAGGGAAGGGTTGTAATTTAAGTGGAAATAAAAGGTGGTGGGAGTTTTATTATTCAAATATAAAATAACTTCTTCCTTCTGAGCGCGCTGCACTTCCCAGGCACTGTGTGGGGATGCATACGTGACACGGGAGCTCCCGGGACCTGGCTGTTCATTCCATGTGGAGCGGAACCGTCCTGGTCAGACACTTTTGGCTGTGGTGGGACACTTCTGTCCCCACATTGTCCAGCTCCGCTGCCGACAGCCTTGAAATGGCCATTTGCTAAGCCTGGAGTTTCTGGTTTGAGTTGGGTAAGACAGGAGGTGTCTGACCAAACCGTTTTGTGCTGGCGTGACAGGAGGTGCCTCAAGTGGGCAGAGCAGGGGGAGGCAGGAGGGTCCCGGTCCCTGTCCTGGCCCCTGCTGCAGGCTCTACCACCCCAGGGTGCCCCAGAGCTGAGGATCAGGCTCTCTGACCCCACGGGTGCAGGGCTCTGGGTACGTGCCCTCGCCCATGGGAGCATGCTCAGGGGCTGCATTGACCCCAATGGACCCGGAAAGGGCCACCCAGGGCTCTCTGTCCATCCCCTCCTCCAGGACCAGGTTGGGGGAGCCCCGGAGGCATCTCCCCCTGTTTCGGATCCCACCAGGACTCTGCTGAGTGCTGGCTGTGGCTGTCGGCGTGGTTTGTCCCTGTGGCACTGGAGCTCACGGGGGCTCTGGAGTTGGGAAGGGCCTTTCCCACCCCTCGCACCTCTGTGGCCAGGACACCAGGGCTGGGAGCAGGTGCTTGGAATGCCCTGGCATGGCGGGTTGTCCTGGGTTCAGCTACAGCAGTCAGCTCTTCCTGGGATGGTGTGTAAGGGGGAAGATTTCCAGTCTTGCCAATGCAATGAGCTCTTTCTGGTGCTGTTTGCGAGGGAAGGGATGTAGGAGAGGCGTGTAACTACCACACGGCTTCAGAGACCAAAACATTCCTGGTGAATTTTCTGTCAGAGATGTCTCTTTGCCAATAAATCCCTTTGAGGGTGGGAGGAAGAAGAAGGTGGATGAGAAGTGAAGAGCTGAGGAGCTGCTGTGTGTCCAGCCATGTCCCTGGGCAGAGGTGAGCTGGCAAGGGCTAGAACTGGGTGAGCTTTATGTTCCCTTCCAACCCAAACCAGTCGGTGGTTCTATGATTCTATGAGTGTCCGTCTGTCCATGCTGCTGTGATCAGCTGCATCCTGGTTTCACTGAAAGCCTCCTATCTCCATCTGGAGATCCTTCTCCTTGACACCCCCGGGCCTGATCGGGAATGGGAAGGGAGTGGAGATGCCCAGAGAGGGCAGGGAGAGCTTGAGGGATAGGGACGGGAGATGTAGCCCTGCTTTGGGGCCACGTGGTGAGCTGTACCCTGCTGTTCAGCACAGGGGTGGTGAATGGGCTGGATGGGTCCCAGCCTTGCCCCGGTGCAGCACCCGCTGCGCACCCCTGCCTGTAGCCGGTGGTGAGGCTGGGTGGCCCCAGGCCTCGCCTCGGAGCGCCCCCCGCGGCCCCCCCCTGCCTTTAGCCGGTGGTGAGGCTGGTTGGCACGCGAGCTCCTACCTGCGTTGTGGTGCCCGTCTGTTCTCATGGCACATTGGGCTCTGCGGTCACAGGGGTGCTTCAGGTTGGGCTCAGCTGGGGGCTCCTTCTGCAACACTCCTTAATTCAGGTCCTCATTAACCTAACAGAGGAGCAGCTAATGCCAGGATGAGCTCTTTTCTCGTGGGTTCTGTTTGAGCCCAGTTATTCCAGGCAGCATCCGGCGTTGCAGCGTGGTCCCTGTTTCCAGGGAGACCGCAGCAGCGCAGGAGCAGCAGAGCCAGCCCGGGCTGCCACGGCACACCACGAGCAGACACTGCAAATGTCAACGGAGGATAAATATAGCCCCGTGCCGGGGCCTTCTGTGCCCGTGAGAGCCTCCTGGCTGCAGCGGGGACAGCCTGGGCACTAGTGTCAGCCCCAGGCACCAGCTTTGGTGCCCGAGGGTGCAGCAGCCTGGGTCCAGCTCATCTACCCCTTTCCCTGGGTGAGGGTTGTCCACGAGGCAGTTGCAGCCTCCGAGACGTTGATGGGTTTAGGTTTATCCCAGTGCTTGCCCAATGGGATTTCCCCCTGGAGCATCTCTCAGCCCGATGGAGCTGCCTCCATGCACGGAGCAGCTTTTACCCCGAGGGCAGCACATCTCAGCCGTGTTCCTGGTGCTTCAACATGATTGTTTTTCAAATCGAGCCCCTGTGGTGGATCACAAAGTGCTTTTCCAGTGGCCCCTGTGCAGTGACCTCACCCTGTGTTTGCTCTGCAGCATTACTTCACTGTTAACTTCAACCATGAGAACCAGAAGACGCTGGAGCTGCGGACGGAGGATGCCAAAGACTGTGACGAGTGGGTTGCAGCCATAGCTCATGCCAGGTATCACCAGCACCAGCACACATGAGGAATGGGGTGTCGAAGGCAAAGCTGTTGGGAGCTGTGGGCAGGTTGCAGGCAGGGAGCCGCTGAGCTGGGCACTGTGGGCAAGTAGAGCAGAGCTTTTGGCCTCCAGCCTCATGTCAGAGACCCTCATGCCAAGCAGGAAGCTTCATTTAGACATCCCCCATCCTCATGCTTGCCCATCCCTGTCCCCATCCCAGCCCAGCCCAGTGCTGGAGGGATGAGGGATGCGCCACCAGGTTCAAAGGCCATCAGGAAGGGTTTCATCTGGAGTAGTAAAAATGGTCAGGAAGAATTTTTTCCAAGGTCCTGTGCTGTGGGATTGCTAACACAGACCACTCACCCAGCAGAGCATCAGGAGCCAGCCCGGTGCAGACGCGTGTGCAGTGAAGGAAGGTCTGGGCTGGCAGTGGGTGGAGGGGGGCACATGGGTGAACACAAGAGGTAGGGAAACATCATCTGGTGCAGCACCTTCACCAGAGCCGGTGTTCACAAGAGCTTGTGCCACAAGTGTCCTTCTTGTTAAACCTGTGGGACGTGGTGGTGAGAGCCCTGGCCATCGGTGTTGGGTTGGTTGTTTTTTATCTCCTACCATTTCCTTACATTTGTGTTGCTTTTACTGTTTGTACTCTTGGGGGGAATCCAAGTCCTCTTGGATTGCTCAGTTCTGGGTACCAGCATCCCAGACTGCAAGAACTGGCTCTGGTTCATTCACCCTACGGGTCCTTGGAGCTGGAGGGGTCAGGGCAGTGTTAGGCAGCCAGGAAGGAGAAACCAACCTGGCAGCAAACCACAGCCCATAGACCCCCAGTTCTGTGTGTGCAGACCCCCAGTTCTGTGTGTGTGCTGGGGGTGGCAGGAAGGAGGGATGCTCATGGCCGTGTCTGCCCGCAGCTACAGGACCCTGGCGACGGAGCACGAGGCGCTGATGCAGAAGTACCTCCATCTCCTGCAGATTGTGGAAACGGAGAAGACCGTTGCCAAGCAACTCCGCCAGCAGATCGAGGCCGGGGAGATCGAGATCGAGTGCCTGAAGGGGGCCCCGTGGGTGCCCCCCCCGCCCCCGCCCCAGCCGCTCCCCAGGGTGGCCGCGGGCGGTGGCATCGCGCTGGCGCAGTGACTCTGGCTCTAATGCCACCAGGCTGGGGCTTCTCCTGCAGAGAGAGGCCAGGGGTCCCCTTGTTGGGGTTTATATTGCAGGAGCCGTGCAGTGAGCGGCTGTGGCTGCCCCAGCATGGTGCATGTGAGGGGCTCTATGTGGTTCCCAGCCCTCGGGTGCTGCTGTGGCAGAGAAGGGTTCTCTCCAGTGATGAGAGCTGGGAAATGGGCTGAGGAACTGGTCCTTGGGCTCAGGAGGAGGCACTGGGGTGGTCACTCCTTATCTTACCATTTCACCATCCTTATTTTCATCCGGATACCTTGATTAGACCCTCTCTGTGTGCCTGGTGGTAACATCGGCCGGGCAGTGCAAAGCTAGAGGAGTGACTGAAAAGGGAAGAGGTGTCTGTGGCCTTGGCAGGGAACCTGTGCCAGCAGCAAGCTGCATAACCCAAGGGGATGACTGTGCACGTTGCTACAAACAGAACAGGCACTTCTGTAAGCAGTTCAAAGGGAGTAGCCCGTAAACCTGTTGCCTGTAGCTCATCCCAGAAGCTCCCACAGTAGTTTGTGGTGTTGGGTCATAGGAAGGGTGACAGGACGTGGGTTATGGCAGACAAAGCACCACAATGCAAAAATGACCCAGCAGCCGGTGCCAATGGAAGCTCCTGTCTCTAATATGCCTGGATGGGGACGCTCAGGGTGTGGGAATGCCCTAAGCTGCTGCTGCAGGGCTGCAGCTGGCCCTGGGTACCCTGTCATTGTGCTGGTGGGTGCTGGTGTGAGGTGCAGCAAGCAATGGGGCTGGTGAGCATGGGGCAGCCCTGGCGTTGGGCAGTGTCTTGGTGGCCGAAGCAGCCAGGAGTGGGGCTGAGACTCCAACCCTGACCCAGTGAAAGCCTCCAAACTGCCACAAAGGAGGCAGCAGCACAGCACTGAGCACAGGAGTGTTTTGGCATATCCTCAGGGGGTCTTTTACTTAAATTTGGGATTTTGGAGTTAATAAGTGCAGGTTCGTAGCAATCCCTGAGCATGAGCCAGGGTACACTGATGGCTGCTTCGAATCCGGGGGGACAGGGGAGCCACAAACCTTTCCCAGGAGCAGTTTTGGCACCACTGAAGCCGTGCCCTCCAGCAGAACCAGATCAGCCCAAAACTGCCCTGGCTGCACCCGCTCCATGGGGGGTTCTCCCCTAGGAGATCCACAGGTCTGGTCCTGGCTCCAAGTCAGAGTGAGCAGCACTGATGCTGAGCATCCCGCTGAGCTTTCAGAGCTGGGAGATATGTTGTGATCCCTGCAATTCACTGAGGGGTTGGGATCAGAGCTGCAGCCGGTCCCATCCCCTGTGTCCAGGCGTGTTTGATTTTACCTTGCATTGGTTTGGGGTTTTTTTGCCTTCCACATGCTTTGAACCAGAGATCAAATAATCCGCTTCTACTTTCATGTGCAAATTCTGCTCACTCAGCTTAAAAAAATAAGCCAAAATAAAGCCATGGCACCAACAAATTCATTCCATGGGTCCCGGCCAAGGTGTTCCTGGAGCTGGCGTATTGCAGGGTACTGCAGGGACGGGGTCTGTGTCCGCCTGCAAGCTTTAGGGTGCAAATGACTGGAGATTTTTCTGCTGTTTTCTCCCCAACTTGTTTTTTGCCTCTGTGATGTGTATGGGGGGTGCCAGGGGGTCGGTGGCACCCTGGCAGCTCCGCATGTTTCCTTCTCTGCTTCCTCTACCCATCTCCCACTAAGACCAAATCCATGCAGCGTGCCCCTATGTATGTGGTGACACTGGAGGTACTGTGTGGCTGCAGGGCTTGTCCTTGGCTCCCGGGATGTGCCGGGATGCACTGGGATGTGCCTGGCTCTGTCGCTCACGCCCACCCTGTGCCCGCAGATCGCCTCCCTGCTCAAGGATCACGAGCGCATCCAGGCCGGCCAGAGCAGCGCGCCCAGCGACGACGACAGCGACATCAAGAAGATCAAGAAGGTGGGTCCTGGTGTCGTGGTGGTGTGGGAGATGTGCTCCATGTGGGGCTGGGGAAGCGGGGTAAGGAGCTGCCTCTGCTAATGGGGGTTTTTAGGAGGAATATGTGGGAACCCTTCTGCTGGTTGTGTTTGCTTGTGGGGTGCTCCCCACTTTCACTGGTGAATCATCACTACCTGTGTTGGCTTCTGCACAAACAGCATCTCTTACATAGAGTCACGGAATCCCAGACTCGTTTGGGTTGGAAGAGACCTTCAAGCTCCTCCAGCTCCAACCCCTGCCATGGGCAGGGACACCTTCCACTAGAGCAGGTTGCTCCAAGCCCCTGTGTCCAACCTGGCCTTGAACACTGCCAGGGATGGGGCAGCCTCTGAGGAGTCTTCCATGTGCCTCTGTAAAAGGGAGAAGAGGACAGTGTCTGCAATGAGCGCATGTAAATGAGTTATTGTTGGTTTTCCAACTGGTTACTGGTTCGGAGCAGCACCAGTAACACCAGTAACAGAGCACACCTCATTCCGGAGCCAGGGAATCCTGCGGCACATGCAGAGCATGGGATGCCTGCCCCACTCCATCGCCCTGGCTCTGACACAGCCGCTGCTCCGTGTGCAGGTGCAGAGCTTCCTGCGGGGCTGGCTGTGCCGCAGGAAGTGGAAAACCATCATCCAGGACTACATCAGGTCGCCCCATTTTTTGAACCAGGTGGTGTTCAGCATGCTGGAGGCGGAGGCCGAGTACGTGCAGCAGCTCCACATCCTGGTCAACAACTTCCTGCGGCCGCTGCGCATGGCTGCCAGCTCCAAGAAGCCTCCCATCACGCACGACGACGTCAGCAGCATATTCCTCAACAGGTAGGGCCCATCCCGGCGGATCCCGGCATCCCGGTGGGCAGGCGTTGGCATCCGCTGCCTTCCCTGGGAATGGGTGTCGGGGCACTCATTGCCCTGCAGGAAGGAGGTCGGGGCTGTCCTGCATTTCAGGTTCACTTGTGAAGGGAGCTCCAGGCGGCTCAGTTCCTCCCTCTCCTGCTCTCTCCTCATCCATCATTCCCTGTGGGACCCCCTGTGTGCAGCCACCTCCCAGCCAGTCCCAGGGCCCCTTCTTTGCTGGTGGTTTCCTCTGGTTACTCCCTTTTTGCTCTTGTTCTTCTGCCTTTTCACACTTTGGTTTATCTTCCAGCGAAACCATCATGTTTTTGCACCAGATCTTCTACCAGGGCCTCAAGGCAAGGATCTCCAGCTGGCCAACGCTCGTGCTGGGTGAGTGCCTGTTGCCTTCTCATCCTGCTTCCTTCCCACTCATGGGTAGAGCCGAGCCTGTGCTCTTCTTCCTCCTCCTCATGCAGCTGAACAGGCATTTGTTCTGCTATAACTGGCAGCAGCAGGGAAGCATGTTGGTGATGCTTGCTCATGTTGGTCATGGAGGCAAGGACTGGAGCAAAAAGCCCCAGAGAAACCCAATTCCTGGTCCTGCCGGGCGGTGGAAGGGGTGGGCTTGGGCGTGCACAGGAGGAAGAGCATCACTGTGTCCAATTAGACCCTCAGCTGGTGCTACAGGGGGTCTTTGGAACCCAAACTGGGCAGAGTGCGCCTTGCACAAGCAGCAAGAGGGGCTGTGCTGGGACCCCGGACCCAGCTGGAGCTGCTCAGTCACCGCCCCTCTGCTCGCAGCCGACCTGTTCGACATCCTGCTGCCCATGCTGAACATCTACCAGGAGTTCGTGAGGAACCACCAGTACAGCCTGCAGATCCTGGCGCACTGCAAGCAGAACCGCGACTTCGACAAGCTGCTCAAGCACTACGAGGCCAAGCCCGACTGCGAGGAGAGGACCCTGGAGACCTTCCTCACCTACCCCATGTTCCAGGTGACCAGGGTCAGCCCCAGGGGTGCCACCACAGCAAAGCCCAAAGAGGTCCTGGGGCTGGACCTGTGTGGTCCCACACTGCTCCTGGGACCTGCTCAGGCCATTGCTGGGCTCGCTGGTGCTGTGAGAGGACTCTGGGAGAAGCTGCTGCTTCCTGGTTATCCCACCAGGGACACGGATGAGGCACAGCAGGGTCCTGGGCAAACACCACTTCCTGTGCCCCCGCTTCATTACGTTTTAGCAGAAGGAGCTTTCCTTAGCCCCCCAGTCAGTGTGTCTGAGGCACGGTGTCCCCAGTCATGGTGTCCCCCTAGTGTCCTCTGAGCCCCCTCCATCCCGTGGCTGATGCCCTGCTCTGGTCTGTTGTGCTGCAGATCCCCAGGTACATCCTGACGCTGCACGAGCTGCTGGCTCACACCCCCCATGAGCACGTGGAGAGGAACAGCCTGGATTACGCCAAGTCTAAGCTGGAAGAGCTGTCCAGGTCAGACCCACTGCTGCCCTTCCCTGCCCATCGCTTCCCGTCCCTTCCCATCCTTTTCTACCCCTTCCCATCCTTTTCTACCCCTTCCCATCCTTTCCCATCCCTTCCCATCCTGGCATCAGGGCTGTGGGACTGGGGCCATTCAGTGCCCAGAGGACTGGGGCAGGTGAGGGGCTCTTGTGCAGTGTGTGCTGCCCCCCTGGGGCAGGAGAGGGGCTGGGACAGTCAGACCCTGATCCAGGGTGTGGAGAGCGTCTGCGATGGGACTGGGCTGCCCTGGGTGATGCTGGTGGAGGTGTTGGCAGAGGGGTTGTGCTGGGGTGGGTGCAGGAGAAGCTCAGTCCATGGTTCAGAGTCCCTGGCAAGGATGAACCCCCCCCCTGAGCTGCTGGCACAGGGAGATCTGCCCACCCGTGCAGGGTGCTGGGTACTGCAGGGAGCTTGCTAAAGGGGCCCTGTGCTGTTTGAGCCAGGACCTGCCATCCCATCACCCTCATCCTCTGTGTGTCGAGGGCTGAGACCTTCCAGTGCCATCCCCTGCCCCATGTGCCTGTCTCTGCGGCTGGTGGGACATCCTCTGCAGGCCGTGGACCGAAGTGTTCTGTGTGTCCTGTGCCAGCGTATTGTGGCAACAGCACCCAACTGACCAGCCCTCTTTTGTCCTGGGGCAATCCATAAGGATTTTCCATCCCTTTTCCCACTTCCCAAGGAGCAGGGATGTTGGAGGGAGCTTGTGATGGGGGGATCTGTCTGCCCTAAATCCGAATTTTGTGAAAGCACTCTCCTTTCAGAACTCAGGAATGTGGGGGTACCATCCAGGCTGGTGTAGGTCACCCCCTGAGCTCCAGGCCCATTGTGTAGATACAGATCTAATTCTCTTGATTTCCTCTGGTTCTGGTCTTACCTAGTGCAGCCCTTCAGGGATCCGCTGGGAAAACTCATGTGGATCTCATCCCAGCTCCAGTTTCCTCTTCTCATTCCTTCAGGATAATGCACGATGAGGTGAGTGAGACAGAAAATATCCGGAAGAATCTGGCGATCGAGAGGATGATCATCGAGGGCTGCGAGATCCTGCTGGACACCAGCCAGACCTTCGTGAGGCAAGGTGCGAGTCTGCGCTGATGCCTGTGCCCCCCGGCGTCAACACAGACCCTGCAGCCCTCTCCTGCATCCCTCCATCCCTCCATGCGGGGTCTGGTGCTCGGTAGCATCTAAACACATCGCTCCTGTCTGAATTTCCTCTGCTCCAAAGCGCCTCACTCTTGGTGTGGGCACTGCACTGTGCTGCATCATGGAGCAGAATGTGTGTTTTAGCTGTTAGTGGGTCCCTACGGCCTTGGAAGTGGTGGGATGTGTCCTGACCCAGTGGGGTGCGAGAGGAGCACCCACACAGTGGGGACACAGGGGTGGGCTGGAGGCATGGCTGATCCTAGCCCTGGTGCATGGGGACACGGCGATGCCACGCTCCCGGGGACCATGCCCTGCAGAGCCGGGATGCCGGATTTGGTGCCAGGGCCGGGTCTGTCCCCTCGCAGGGTCCCTCATCCAGGTGCCGATGTCGGAGAAAGGGAAGATCACGCGGGGCCGGCTGGGCTCCCTCTCGCTGCGGAAGGAGGGCGAGCGGCAGTGCTTCCTCTTCTCCAAGCACTTGATCATCTGCACCAGGGGCTCCGGGGGCAAGCTGCACCTCACCAAGGTGGGACAGGGTGCGCCGGGGTGTACCGGTGTGGTGCAGGCACCATGTCAGTGGTGTGGGGAGCTCTGAGTCACGGGCAGCGATGGGAAATCACGAGTTCTTGATAAAAGGAGTTGTGATTTGCAGCAGAACCCGTGACAACTGTTCGGTGAGAAACTGTCACAGCCAGGGTTGAGTAGAGCGCTCGGGCTCCTCCGGGCCGTGCCCAAGACTGCTTTTGCCGGTGGAGTTTTGCAGTTAACTGAGCGGGAATCTTACAGGGTCTGCTCATTACTGGCACTAAATTATCAGCGTGAAAAATGCCAGCATGTGGCAAAGAGCTGATAACTGAACAGCAGACCTTCGGAGAAATTAATTTAAAGCCCATATTAAATAGTTTATAAACAAATTAGTGGATGGGTTGTACAAGGAAAACCACGACAGCCCCGCAGCAGGAGCTGCTGCTTCCCAGGGAGAGCATGTGTGCCCCTCGGCAGCATCACCCCATTCGTGTCCCTTGGCTGGGGGCTGGGATGTGGAGTAGGATCCAAGGGGATCCTTGGCGCTGAGCCCTGACTCCCACCCCTGCAGAACGGCGTGATCTCCCTCATCGACTGCACGCTGGTGGAGGAGCCGGAGAGCACCGACGAGGATGGTAGGTGCCCCTGTGCTGGGCAGAGCCCCCATGAATCATAGAACCATGAAATGGTTTGGGCTGAAGGGACCTTAAAGCTCATCCAGCTCCAGCCCCTGCCACGGACAGGGACACCAGTGCCAGCCCATGCTCCGCTGGTCCTCACTAGAGTTCTCTTAACACGTGCTGTGGGTTCTCCCGTGGCACATGGCACCAGGGCCGTGCTGGCGCTCCCCGTGTGCAGCAAAACAGGGACCCTTTACCCAGCGAACCTGTCCCACCCTGACCACCGACAACCCACAAAATGCAGCAAACCTCAGTAACACCTACGGTGGGGAGGGGGGGAAATCTTTTCACAATCATCGTGTGTGGTTTTTCTATTCCAAAGCAAAAACATCAGGGCAAGACATCGACCACCTTGACTTCAAAATCGTGGTGGAGCCCAAAGATTCCTCCTCTTTCACGGTTATC